AGTGTACTGTGAAAAAAACACAAGGCACGTATATATACGTGCGTACATCTACATACATATCTATCTATATATCTACATATCTACATATATATACATATATATTTACTGATAGTGTTTACCGTCGGTTGGCCGAAAAACGAACGTGCACCGCGACACGATTACAGCGTACGCTGCACGTTGCATCACAAGAGCGTACACCGGTGAAGGTCACGCGCTCCAAAACTCACGGTTACGGAGTACAAAAACATCTAGGCTGGATATAGCTCGTCAGAGTCCGGTTCGATATCGGAAAGCTTATCTGTACCTACCTATTCATAATTCGATTAATATATTCTGTACCGCGTAAGCTATCGATGACTGATGACCCACGCTGAAACTTCCATTTCATCTCAAATACGATATTTTAACTGTAGAAAGTAAGACAATTCTAAAATATTTCCTGGTTACAATTATTGAAATATATTGGAATATTTTATATATTAGGCATGTTTCCTCGCGATTATATAATTTTTGTAATAGTTACGAAACGCAATTTACACGTGGCTTGGATGGCAAATCACGTAAAATTAACAGATATGGAATGTGTTAAAACTAGAAGAGATAAATATGGACTAAAGAAAAACTTTTGTAGCCGGGGCTTTGATTCCATCGGATAATCGCGATATTGATAAAAAAAAGTGCCGCGAACGAAAAAACAGAAATGAAGATAGGCGTAATAATAAAGGTCGCGTTCTGAGATCCAACGACGGTAAGTACACGCGCGTTCGTTGCCATGTGCCAATGACACGGTACACACGTACGAGACACACAGGCGCAACCACGATGAAACTTGCCGGCGCGCGGTGCTCGCGAAGAAGAAAGGAAAAGAACACAGATGCGTAGATGTACGCGTGGTCTAGGCAGCAGAGCAGTACTCACCTCTTTCTCTTCGTTCAATATACTCGGCGGCCTGTAGTAGGGCAGCAATGCTCATATTTCCCCGATTTGGCGTAATTTTGGCGACTTCGGTTCACTACTTCTTTCCCTGTAATCCCGGCACACACACCGATGACCACCGCCGCGCGCGCGACACACAACGCAATAACCGTTTAGAGACGCACACGACGAGCACCAGCCCCGTATACACCGCGCGGCCGATCTGTTGTTGTTGTTGATGTTGATGTTGGCTGGCGCTGGTGTTGCCGCTTCTCGAACTTTTCTCTCCGCCCGCCTGTTCAACCGCCGCTCCTTCTCCTCCCCCTCTTCTACGACCGCCACCTCTTCCTCCTTTTCTCGTCCGTCCGCGCGCCTCGCTGGCTGCGTTCGCTTAGGTGCACGTAACACACAAGCGCGCGCGCGTGACTACCGAGACTAGCCCGATTTCAAACGCGCACTAGATTCGCGGACGGCAAATCGATGGCCAGGCCTTTCCAACCGCGATACGCATCAAGAACTGTCTTTTTTTTCCTCTCTCTACCACGGTATATATTCCGTCGACTATTTCGCGATATACGTTTCCCTTTGTAGCCTGTTTGCACCAACCGTTCGACGACTTTCAGTCTACCTCGTCCGTGTCTGTCTATCTTACTTCCAATTCCACTTGCCCTTTTATTTAAAATGCTAGTTTTCTTTTCCCTTGTTCTATACGTTTCTTTTCTCCCCCTTTTCTACTCGGTGGCGTTTCACTTTAACTCCGTACAGCTTGTATAATATTCTCCTTTTCCTATCTTTATGTTTTCTGCCTGACTTCGTCGGTTCTCTTCTTCTTTCTTCACCTTCGTTTCACAACATTCACTACGATCACACCAAATCACGTGAAAATGGCAAAAAAGAAAAGAAAAGAAAAATCAACGACCGATAGGATATACGCGAGGCAAGAGAATACGACGCACCGCTGCTCCACACTTCCATACGCGAAGTCGCGTGCGAGCGAACCGACAAATCGTGTTTTACGAATACGTGACAAAGACGGAAGAGACAGACAGAGAGCTCACGCGAGCAAGCAAGTAAGCGCGAACGGTACAATTGGAAAGAAGCACACTATAGTACAGTCACTAGGCGAGTCGAAAGGGTCGAGATTACGCGTGTCGCCGGTAATTTATCGCGGACGCGAGCGACCGATCAACCAAGCGAGCGAACCAACGAATGCGAAAGAACCTGACCTCGATCAGCGGCCGGTTCGACTTGTGCGCGCTCGACCAACTATTATTTTTGGTCAGGAAACGAGTATCGCGTACTGTGCACAGCGTGCATGTGCATGCGACCACTTTACGTGCCGGCTACTTGTTTTGTGCAGCGACCTTGAACGCGTAGATCTTACTGGGAGCCATGCACAAAGTGGCCTGGGAGCATGGATCTAGATGTTGCAATATTTCCAACGTATAACGCCAATGTACTCGTATATATATCGTGGTCACCGAAACAAAGTAAAAAACACGTTCGAGAACTTGAAAATGAAATGTAGGACCACAAAATTTTCGCAAAGAGTAAATCGTTCGTTCCGGACGACGAATCTATCGCCGTTTTTCTTGATTCACGCACGTAACTCGGTCAACTTGGTCGTGAGGTCAACGATTCCCATGAAACTCACGCAATACGCAGTTTGCGGTAGCAGACGGACACACACGTACACACACGCAACCAATGTCGAGCGGTGTGCCAATAAAACCGCAATTTACTCGTCAGAGAAAACGTACGTTGTCACGCGCAAAACACAGAGGCAAATCTTCTAGAAACTCGCATGATACGCGACCGATCACGGTAATGCTCGTACTGGTTTTCCGTTCACGATGAGCACGTAGAAAGGCGCTCCCTTGATTCCGTTCTCGACTGGATTGCAAGCGACTTTTAGTACACATGCACGTTACACCGTACAAACATGCCTATGCACACGCATGTAATGCGAGTGAAAATATGTGTGTACATGTGTGATCCGTAATAAGTGTGGTTCCCATACAAGAAACAACGGCAACACGATGGGTGCATACACACGTTCACGGTATATGGAGAAAATGTGTGCGAATACAGAGCGCGAATAAAACCGATACGCAATATACACGGAGCCGGCCTAAGGATCACGCGAATGTATATTGCGTATCGGACGATACATTAACGGCTC